TGCATCATTTTTCCCTTGAGACCTGACTCACTTCCCTAAATGCAGCATCCTGCTTGGTAAATTTATGTACTAGACCATTACCACTGTTGCATTTTCTCAATAGGGGGATGGAGTCTTCCCTGAGCTAAGTGCCCTCCACCACACACACACACATGCACACAGGCACACACACACACACCTGAGATGGCCATGAACACACAAAATCAGCATTCCTACCATCTGCTCAACATATGTGTAACTCCCTGCCTCATTCGAGAGTGTATTTTTAACGCTTTTCTTTAAAGGACCTTATGTTTTTCAGGCATTGGCAAAAATTAATCTTGAAAATTACAAAATCAAAATATGTTGAGTAAATTAAGACCCATTTTCTCTGACAGCATTTGGTCTAGGCAATGATTGCAAAACTCCATCTGCATTTTGTAAGATGACTTCTCTGTGAGTACACTTAGAACAACTTGATTTAGGAGTGTACTTCCGATATTAATTTGACTATAACTGCTCCTGCCACAGAGAAATAGAGCCCCCTGGTTTTTAGGGCTCTTCATCAGAGCACCATGTTTGGGAGCACTGTGTTCTGTGGGAAATATTTACTGAGGCAGTGTTCTCTCTCGGGATCCCAGCTTTCAATCTTTTAAAGTACAGTTTGTCTCAGAACTTTGCTTTTTATAAGTTTTGAATTCCTTTTTATTGCCTTTTTTTTCCCTTTGCTTTCCTAGACAGAATTTCTTAGAGTAAACAAAGGTGAAGTGGCAGCATTTTTCATAGTAGTATGGATTTTTTAGGGTTTTTTTGGTGGTGGTTGTGATCAGTGGAGGATTGGCCCAGGCAAAAAGAAATGTATGAATACAACCGATAAAAAAATACATATAAATGCCAATTCATTCCTTTTTCTTTGAGCTCCTTTTTATTAAAACATTCATTCAATAAATATTTATTTGATGCTTACTTTGTGCCAAGCAAGCTAGCTGTGCTAGGTGCTCAATAAGAATATTATTATAATGATTATATTTACATTTTATATTAGTTTAATAATAGTAAGTGTGGTAGCAGCATACGTTTCTATACATAAGCTGTCTTTCTTGCATTTCCACATCTCATCTGAACCTCAAAGCAAGTGTTTGAAATGGGCATGTAGGAATTGTTGTCTCCACTTATGACTGTAGAAACTGAAGCCCCCAAAAGAGAAATGTCTAGAGTTACATGGATCTGGGCAGGGACTGCATGAAAATCCAGGTTTCCTGACCCTGACCTTGGAACTCTTGTCCTATTGTATTGTATCCCTTCTCCAAATTTCACCTCTACCACCCCAGTGTGTGATCAGTGCTCATCCAAAGCACTATGGCTGCCCATGGTCCTCCCTTGTGAGTCAACTTGTATGAGAAGCTCCCAGTCTCACACTCTTACGTGTCTCCTCTCTCATTCTCTGTTTCTGTCTCCCTTGTATATGTACATATATATGTATATGTAGTATCTTCCCTGAGGCTAAGCCATTCAGAGAATTCATATTGAATTAAAATCACTTGCCTTCTAGAAAAAAAGTTCTTAATGCTTTATAAATAAAACATCTAATTCTGGGGACTTGGGCACTCAAATTGTCTAAGAAGGTCACGTTATGACACACAATTGTTACACTGCTTTGGTTATGGGAAAAAGTTATTTCTGTTATTATTAAAAATAGATTCAGACAGTGCCAAACAGACCAGGTCTTCTTAGAGAAAACTTTGATAGTTGCCATTAGCAATCCTAAGGCAGAAAATATTTTTTCAAAGTGATAACACACACACACACACATACACACACACTAATTGCATTTACTAACTAATCTTGAAAAAAAATTGATAGGTCATTGTTCTTTATGGGATGAATTTAGATGTAAGAACTTCTTAGAAGCAGTGAAAATGATTATAGAATCTCACTTTCAATACAAAATATCATAATGTGGATAATTTTGCTTCATTCTGTTTTACAGTTACCATATTCCAATCCCTCCATGAGCTCCTACCTGGAGTTTGCAGGGAATTTGCCTTCCTCTGACTGTGTACTAATATTAATGCTAATTCATGTGTATAACATTTTTATAATTTATATACAGCTTTGACTGTATTATCTCATTTTAACCTTAAAACAATTCTGTGATAAGTAGTATTGCTATCTTTATTTTGAGTCATTATTCGATTTGGCCCAGCATCATAGGGTCTGAAAATGAGAGAACCAAGACTTGACTCTGATATTCTGACTCCAAACTCTAAACTCCTTTGACTTCATTACCTAGTGCGTGTTTTCTTTCTTTCTTTCTTTTTTTTTTTTAAGATTTTATTTATTCATTTGACAGAGAGAAACACAGCGAGAGAGGGAACACAAGCAGAGGGAGTGGGAGAGGGAGAAGCAGGCATCCCACCGAGCAGGGAGCCCGATGCGAGGCTCGATCCCAGGACCTTGGGATCATGACCTGAGCCAAAGGCAGATGCTTAACAACTGAGCCACCCAGGTGCCCCTAGTGCGTGTTTTCTGTTTCCTCACTTTTTACACATCTCAGCTCCCAAACTGGAATCGAATTTACCCTGGTGTTTAGCAGATTGCGCTGCATAAGGTTTTACACATAAAAGGATCTGGGTTTTCAATTACAGCTTTGCTACTTCTTTGCTGGGTGATCTTAGATAAGTTATTTAATCATCTAAAGATGAAGTCTCAGCTTCTTCATTTATAAGATGGTGACCATAAGAGTTCCCACATCATGGGATATCAGAGTAAATGAAATCGTTGGTGTAAAGTCTTAGCAGAGACCATATCATGGTATTATTAGATTAGGCAATTTACAAGTTGTGTAAGGTTAGGCAAGGTACTTAATCTTGTCTAGTTCCATCATTATTAAAAAAAGTGGGAAAATATTAAGTATCTTGCACAGATATCATGAGGTTTAAATAAAATAACGTTTGTGAAAGTGCCTAACAGTCTTTGGAACACAATAATTTTTCATTTTCAACCTATTTGCTTTCTCTCTTTCTTCACGGAGAAAATCAATAAACGTTTACTGGATTTCCCGTCACTCCTTTCATGCAATGATTTTATGACTATGTTTTAGTGGTTCTATACATGGATGCAAGTGTTCAATATCAAGGTGACTTTGACAAACTGTTCTAAAGCTCCTAGTAGAATAAACTGCAGTGTCCTCTCAGAGAGGTAACAGAAAGGAATTTGGTAACCTAGTTCAGAGTAATCGCCCAGAAAGTGGCTCCCCAGTGAAAGCCCGGCTGGCAACCAGCCCATAGGTACTTTCGGCATGGACAAGGAATTTCAAGGAGAAGGATTTGTTAAAGCAAAGAGGTGTTCAAAAGTGATTAACTGTCGGGAATACCCATCAGAGTTTGTATAAAAAGATTGAACTTGAGAACATATATTTTTAAGACTTTATTTATTTGAGATAGAGAGCGAGAGAGAGGGAGAGATGAGAGAAAGAGAAAGAGAGAGTAGGGCACTAATGGGTGGGGAGGGGGGCAGAGGGAGAAGGAGAGCAGGGAACCCGATGCGGGGCTTGATCCCAGGACCCCTGGGATCATGACCTGAGCAGAAGGCAGACACTTAACGGACTGAACCACCCAGGCGCCCTTTGAACTTGAGAAATTATTTAAGCGGTGATTTTCAATATCCAGTTCAGTGGATCCTATGTGTCTACTGGTACAAGAAAATCACAGTGGTAGAAGGCACGTTTTCAAATGGTAGAAATACTTGTCAATAATTAGAATTTTCTTAATTTTACATTCCACTTCCACATATTTTTACATTTGGCTGCCACTGCTTGCTTCAACCAGAACTTAAATTTATGATATGCAGTGTATTGCAGAATTATATATTTAGTTATTTTAGGATATCGTTATTTTGTGAATTCTCAGTGTTCACAAAAGTGTTCACAAAAAGTGTTCACTTGGACAGTCTGAGAAGTGCTGTTATGAAAATACAGTTTTGTTACTTTGGACATTGTTTGGCAGATCAAAAAAGGCAAACATTATGTTGCCCCAGACTTAACTGAGAATCTGCTTTCTCAAAAGGTAGGACTAATTTAAAACCAACATTTCCTGTTAATTGTGTCTCTGAGCAATGGTGGGTGGGTCTCATTCATTATTGCTTTTCTGGTGCCTAGAGCAGTGTCTGGGACAGAATAGGGTCTCCACACATTTCCACCTTACGTAGAAATTGTATGTATAAAAAAATGCTATGTTTCAAAAGCGCTTAAATGGTTTTTCTAAGCGCTGTGAGGATCCAATCTTAAATTTTGTTTCCCTCATTCATTTTATTTTTCATGGAATTCTGCCTGTGTTTCTGATTCAATGCCACCTATTCCCAGGACCCTTCCCTGAAAACTCAAAGCTATGCGTGACGCTCACTTTCCGTCCAGCCCATTTTATGTACCGTACTGTCGTGTGGTTTATGCACAGCTCGGTGTTGGCGATGTAAGTCTAGAGCCTTAGTGAGCTCTCATCCTTGTTCTTAAGGGAGTTAACGTAGTAGGAGACAGGGATACACAGGCAACTAATTATACTGCAAAGCGGAAAGAAAAAGTGCTGTGCTTAAAGTATAAACAAAATGGTGTGATTGCAGGGTGGGAGGAGTAATTAATTCTAACTGGGAGGATCAGGAACAAGGAAGGAAAGAAGCTAATATTTATCAAGGGCTTAAAAGTTGCCAAAGGCAAGCCTAGTGCTTTCCCTCAGGCTCTGGCAGGGGGTTGTGTTTAACCCGAGCTGTGGGGTGTTTGGCCACTGGGGCCATGTGGGGAAGGCATGGGTTCAAGAAGCCACGATACCAGGGGGACACCCTTCTGCGATTCCCTGAGGAACAGGGACTGGGGACAGCCTTGACTTGGAAGGGTTGGGTGGAAAACTGGTTGGAAAGGGAAAGCTGCTTCCAGTTACAGTGAGGGGTTGGAGGGAGAATTCTAGGCAAAGATGAAGAACGTCAGGAAGAATTGGCTTCAGTGTGAGGGAGGGCAAACAAAGGAAGGGGAATTGGAGGAAAGATGAGGCCCACATTTATGCGGGTGGTTATAAAGTATGGGGTGGAGCCGGGAATTCTGATAAGAACCCTGAGGGAGGTGTGCTCAGCGGGGAGAATGATTCAGTGCCAAGGTTCCAAAGAAAGCACAGGTCAGTGGGTACGTCCGCTTGCTCTGCCCTCTTTCCTGAGGGAACGCTCCGTTGTGCTGGTGAGTGTTGGTGGGTCCCTACGGGGGAAGGGGGCAAGGGCGCCCCAGTTTGCCAGCCTTCTCTCCTGACCACTCCTCCAGAGCACACACTGTCTTCATCCCTGCACATTGCCCCATAGAGCCCGATATTGGACTGGCCACGTGGCAGGCTTTTACACAATCATAATTGATTCATGGCAAACAAGCAGGTAGATTTCAGCAGAGTCAAGAGACTACTTATGGATTTTACAGTGCCTTGGAAGTTTAACCTAAAAATTAACCACACAGTTACAAAAAACATTAAAGCCCTTTAAGACTTTACAATCAAGAATTCTTTCTAACACCGTAATCTTACATAAAGAAAACTGTGTCAATTCATTAACTTCTGCAGTAATTTATTAGCTGCTCATTATGCTTTCCTGTTTTGACTAATGGAAATGTTTAGAGCTGCATCTTTATGGAAGCTAAGTAGGCCAGGCGTTTTGACTGTCTTAGAATAATTAGAGAATTTTGCATCGTTAGCCCATGGGATACCTACCTCTCCCAGGACAGCTTCAGAAAATGGTTTTTCGATTTTCTCAGCTTTCCCTCATTAGTGTCTCTTCCTGAACAAAGCCCAACTCTCCAGAATATCACTATAAAATATTTTACAAACATTTGTGGGACTGATCCAGCTGCTTTTAACTATATTAATTTTCTAATTAGGATGGTAAAAAGACCTATTTTGTTCCTATGTGAGATAACTTAGGGGAATTTATATTAGGGCTTACAAACATTCTCCTAACTTACATGAAGGTCTAACAGGAAAGGCAAATTTGTGGTAAACATGCCCCCCTTTGCCCTTCTGTGCCTGTGATACATATCTGTAATCTATAATGCCACTCTTTTCCTATGATTTCAGAATCTTTCTCGACACAGCACTGTAAACAGCAAGAGGTTGGGATTGGCATGAAAGATGATCTAACCAGGTAATTGCTCCCACAAGCCTGTAAACCCCTCAGGTGCAGGCACAAGGTCCAATTCAGGACGTGACATACAGTAGGTTCTTAATAAATGGTTTTTGGAATGAACCGTGGGCAGAGAGATGGATAAATTAAATGGATGCGTGAATGACATTTCTTTCTTTCTCTCTTTCTTTCTCCCTTCCTTCCTTCCTGTCTTCCTTCCTTCCTTCCAACTGGTACAGGAATGCCTGTAGGATGCTTCCTTCTCTGTGTTCTAGGGAATGTACTGTGCATCACCAAGGGTCTTGTGAACACCAGCCCATAGAATGATAGAGCTGGAAGAAACTTTAGAAAATACCGAGTGACAACTTTTAATTTTTACAAAGATGAACCTAAGGTACAGAGAGAACATCTATCCCTAGAGCAGTCTCTGAAGCTCAGGAGCCACCCTGCCATAATCCATACCTTATTAACTCTGTGGCTTCTGGCATTTTCTTTGCCTCTTCATCTGTAAAGTGGGGACAGCGATCTTGTTTGCTTTTCAGGGTTATTGTAAAGCTTAACAAGAAAAAGAATGCAAAGTGCTTAGTGTAGTGCTAGCACATGGTAAATACTCAAAAAAAAAGTTAACTTTTCTTTTTTTTCTTCCCTTTCATTAGTATTAGCTGAGCCAATGACGGTACTGTTAAGTGGTTTTATTACAAAGTTTATCATGTTATGCTGTGGTTTTTCCCCTTCTATTCAATGAATTGAACAATATCCCCATTTTAGATACATAGAAACTAAGAAAAGAGAAGGTAAAGGAACAGATCCTTATTAATTAAGAATAAAATGTTTCCTACATGGAAAACATACAATTCCAGAATGTCATTTCTCTTTTCTTTTGGCTAATCCTATTATCTCATAATATATAGCATGCTTCATAGAAAATATATTTATAAAACTTACCTTTTAATAATATAGCAATGAAGTTTAATTAAAAGTGAGTGAGCTGAATTGTCCTTTAAAAAAAACCAACATTCACATCACATATGCAGACTGTCAGGTCAGTAATTAGTTGTGGGGGGGTGTGGTGAAGGAAAAGTTTGAGTTGGCTTGACTTTGGTTGCCAGGAAACATACAAAGGCATCAGGAACAGATGAAAACAAAGAATTCCACATTGCTGGGAAGGTGGCCTTCAGAGACAAGCCCTTCAGACTGGGACAGAAGTCTTGCATCTGCGTCCTACAAGAAAATGGAGTTTAAAACCCCAACATGTTAATAGAAGCAAGGTTAGCCAAAGAGATTTTGAGAAGTTGCTTTTCTAATGCATTTAAAATGAGATTTAGAAGATGCTTTCTGTGGTTCTGTCAGTTGGCATAAACATGGGGGAAGTTTTATGCATTTTTAATCAAGCCAGATTAAACAGAATATAAGGAGGGGGGTTTTAAAAGGATTCGACAGATTTTGGAAGTAAACTGTGGAATTAAAGAAGGGTGGGGGTTGAGGGCTTTTATTCCTTACCTCTTGGCCTTGAACATTTTGCCTTCTCACTGTTTGCCTTGAAATGTGCTTTCATTTTGGAATTCTGCTAAATTGGGTTTCTTTTCAAAGGCACCTGTTGAAGGGGAAAAAAAAGTGTCAAAGTAGTTGAAGGCAGCTGAAAAGGGGTGAAGCCATTATGAGTTACCAGAATGCGCTTGAGTTGAACAAGGGGCCACAGCCTGGGTCAAAGAGCCCTGGGAGGGCAGGAGGTGCCACCACAGATGAAGGCCCCTGCCCAGCCCTGCTTGAAAACCAGCTCAGTGTGGGCGACTTTTGCAAAATACAGAGTGCCTTTGAGGTAAGCCTTAATCTTCTCTACTGGAGAATTTGAATTGTTCATGAAGACTGGGGTGAAACAGGTTTTTCTCTTAAAATTGTTGATATATTCAATGGTTAAAACAGGGAATTGAAAAGAATCAGTCAGGCTTGAATTTAACACCAGAGTAACTTTATCCCTCAGTTCTTTGGGCCAAATAATATTATTTAGTTTGCAATTGCTGCTGTTGAATATCATTGTCATCAAGGAAGGATTAATTCTCTGACAAAATTTTTCTTAGTGATCATCACAGTTTTGGAAACCTGGAAGTTGTGGTTGTGAGTGGGGAACATCAGACCTCTAAGGTGACTCCCAGTACAACTGTCCTTGCATGGAACATTCAAGGAGAACTCTGGAAATGCAAATAGGCAGTTTGCAAACATTCTCCCCTGCTTCACTCCAAGTGACTCAACTCCTTTTCAAAGCTAATTTTGGCAATTTATTGTCCCAAGATCCCATGCGAGAGACCAGTCTCCCACTTTTTTGGGTAAATATTGGGGCAATGCTCATCAAAATGAAACTTAAAGTTATCCTTTTAATTCTATATATAAAACAGGCTTAGGAATTTTAACTATAAATAAATAACTTCCTTCTCTCTATCTTAATTAATTTGAATTCGGCAGCTATGCATAGTAAACAGCATACATCAAAATGATTTTTAATTTCTCATGTGAATAGGAAGAAGTGCTCCTTCATGCTGTGGAATTTAGGTGGACATGAGCCTCCATCCTTTCTACTTCATTATGTTTGCTAAAATATGTTCTCAGGCTTTCAGAAGACCCTCCGAGGGTGCTTGGGAATATCCACATTAATTTGAAACAGACATACAATATTTTGGAATACCACCTTGAAATTAATAAAGCATGATGAAATGGGACAATTATATTGGTCTGTAATTGGCATAAATTTTAATTTTTAGGGCGCCTGGGTGGCTCTGTTGGTTAAGCGACTGCCCATGATCCTGGAGTCCCGGGATCGAGTCCCGCATCGGGCTCCCTGCTTGGCAGGGAGTCTGCTTCTCCCTCTGACCCTCCTCCCTCTCATGCTCTCTGTCTCTCATTCTCTCTTTCTCAAATAAATAAATAAAATCTTTAAAAAAAAATTAATTTTTATCTCTCCCCCAAAATGTTGCTAACTACTGAAAAAGTCTGCCATGTCCTGTTTTGCATAACAAGTTCGATTCTACCTGCAATGATAAATTAACATCCTACTTATATCAATCATTTCTTTATAATATAATCTATCATATTTAGTAGCAAAGACATCCTCTGCCCTACACTTTTCTCATTTTAATTGTCATATATCTGCTATTCATCCAATCCCATTTGTCTGCAAAATTTCAGTGTTGCTCATGTCCAATGCCCCAAATGAATTTGGCATATTTCGATAGACAGAGCAAACATTTTGACAGCTTGAGGACATTCAGAGAAACGTAACAGCAGACTATGACAGCTTTGACTCTGGAATGAACAGAAATGTGGTGGTTTGTTCTGCGAAGAACACAAAGAATCTGAATTCTAGGGCTGGTTAAGAGAGTCGACATTATAAAGTCAGTATATTAGAGAGTGAAACTGCTGCAGAAGGTGGGGGTGGGTGTTCTCTTCGAACCACTGATAAGCCTAGAGTGAACCCAATGAAACGGGATAATCAATCTCGAGCTGTTGGTTTTTTGGTTTTGTTTTGTTTTACTTTAAATGTTTCGAAGACTGGATCACTTATTTTGAAATTACCAGTTAGAAAAGCAGGTATTACGGAGGGTGAATAGATTGCAATTCAGAGCTTACATGGACCTAGAAAATCTAATGACAGTTTTTAAAAAAGGGATTGAGCTTTGCAGACGTACTTTCCAGAGAAAAAGAAGTCTGTCCATGTTTAACAGACTCAATAGACACAGAATGGAATAATCTAATGGCAAATGTGCCACCAGGACTAAGAGTTAGGCCCTTGAGACAATATGATTTCCAAGCCCAGAATGGAGACCTAGAGGACAATGATACACAAAGCGGTTTCAGTGGCATTCAGTCCATCTGTCATGAGCGTTAGGCCCACAGTCCACAGGTGTAGATTGCTGTAAAAGGAAAAATCGCCGTCAGCTGCTGTCCAGCAACACGGGACCTTAAAGTCAGTGGTTTGTACTCCAGTCACTAAAGACATGCTCTTGGCAATGCCAAGATTCTGGCACTAGGTCCCTTTATCTCTTATCTTGTTTTGGGTACCCAGATTGCTTATTTGGGGCTGAAAAGTTGTCAGATATAGATAAAGTCCTTATCCTTAATTGAAAAAAGGGAAGTTGGGTCTTTGAATTGTGTACTGAATGTTTCACATATGTTTCCAAAGGAAATACACATACCATATAAATCTTAGTAGTAGCATTTAGGAATAAAGGAAGGAGTGCTTACATTTATCATAGGACGGTATAAATGACTTGGAATCACTTACAGTTTGAGCTCTAGGAATATGATTTCTTGGATTTAAATCCCAGTTTTGCCTCTTACAATGTGTCTATGTGCAAATCACTCAAGCCGTTTGGACCTCAGTTTCCTTTGTTTCTAATGTGGGGATAATAAGGTTGTGGTGAAGATTCAGTAAGATCGTATCTGGAAAATCCTTGGAAGAATGCTTGGCACAGAGTAAGTACTCAGTTAACATAGGTATTATATTCAGTGAGTAGCGGTTGCACCACATGGCCACTAACATTCTCTTGATTCTAACTCATACATTTCCTAACGAAAGTTAAACTTTGAATAACACAACTGTGCTTCTGCATTCCTTTTAGGTGTGCTAGGAAGTGGAAGCGATGAGTTGCAAAGACAAATTCACTTAGAAGAGTACAAAGCGTTCATTTTTCCATTTCCTACTTCCTATTTTATTAGCACTCAAAAGCTTTTAATTGATGTCTTTATCCTCATCTTTATTTTTTTATTTTTTACTTTTTTACATCTTACTTTATTTTGTTTTAAATTAATCCTTATCGTTGGAACAAAGAAATTACCTAGATAGACATACTAGAAAAGTAACTTGTGGATTTCATTTTCTTTCAAGTGACGGTGTCCAAAAAGCCATATATCAACTTGAAGGCAATGGAATTTGTATTATTCATAGAATTGTAAAATGGTTGTTACTCAAACTTTCCTGTTGCACTTGCAATGCTTAGAGAAATGACATGGTCTCTGGACATTCATATATTTTGATGTCAACCATATTTTACATTTTCTTAGATACTTCAAAAGCTAGCTACTATGTAAAGAAAGATGGCTGTGGTTTGATGATGTTATAGGAATGCCTAAGGTGGAAATTCTGGCCCAAGGGAAATTGAGTTTTGGAAAAGCCCCCCTGGAACCTGTTATGTATTGAGTTTCTTCTAAGAGTCTGGCTATGTAGGTTTCTGAGCATTTCTTTTCTTGAATTCTCCATTGTTGACCTCTGCATGCCAGGACTCTGTTCTTTGGTCCCTGATGCCTTGCTGCTTGTTTGGCCTGGGACTGTAGATGCCTACACTGCTGGACTCACTGGGTTACGTCCTGACCTGCTTCCAACAGCAACTGTGTCTGTATATCATCTCCTGAAATGTCTGTTCTGGCCAAGGTTGGGCCCAGAACCAGGGGCTGGTCCTACCCTGTCTACTCCATGCTGCCATTTGCCCAAGCCCGACTAAATCTTTAGCTGGAATAGCTAGAAATGAAATTTAAACCATATGCAAAAGGAGAGCTATTTATGCTCAAAGTAGGAAGGGCCAAAACATTGAGAGAGGCAGAGCAAAAATCCCAGGAGGCAGTCCCCAGAGAAGTTCAGGGAGGTTCTCAGAACAAACCTATCTTGGGAGCAAATAGAATCTATACAGTGCACTTATGCTAACTTAGTCTGAAAAGCCTAGAGAAGTTCAGGAGGCAATTCCGTAGTTCTGAAAATTGTGCTCAAGATGTAATAAAATGATTAAATCCACAGAATTTATGATATATTCATGCTTGATTGTCTTTATAAAATTCCCAAGAATCTGCCTATAGACAGATTCTACAGCAGACCCAATGAATGACTCTTCCTTGCTCCCACAGGACAAAGCTGAGGGTTCTGAGACCCTGCCAGGCAGCCTAGACTTTAAGGGAATACAGAAAGTTGGGTTAAGTTCTTTCCTACGTTTCCCTTATTTATTTGTCCTTCTTTCTAAACTGCCTCCCCCAGTTCATTAAGGCTCCAGTCTTCTCTCAGCCTTCTCAATGCTCACTGTATCTTCACTAGTAAGGTCCCCAAACAGACAGGCCTTCCTGGACATGTCTCATGTTCCAGAAGTATTCTTGTCTCTTGCTTCTTTCTTTTCTATTCCAGGCATTACCATCCCAATGCAAATAATATCCCCCATCTTTGTTTTATTCCCCTTTCTCAGAACCATTAGATTTTGCTTGCTTCTGATAAAATATGAGATAGTCCATGAAGATCATTTAAACATTTTTTAAAGTAAAACTGATAGTAAAAACTCTATACATTGTTATCCAGTAAAGTCCCAAATTAGAAAATCTTTATTTATTTATTTATTTTTAAAGATTTTATTTATTTATATGACAGAGAGACACAGCGAGAGAGGGAACACAAGCAGGGGGAGCGGGAGAGGGAGAAGCAGGCTTCCCACGGAGCCGGGAGCCTGATGCGGGGCTTGATCCCAGGACCCCGGGACCATGACCTGAGCCGAAGGCAGACGCGTAACGACTGAGCCACCCAGGCGCCCCGAAAATCTTTATTTTTATAGGGTGTGCAAACTGTGTAAAAAAATATAATAGCTCGTCCATAATAGAGGTTTATTTCTTGCTCATATAAAGTAGAAAGTAGATATTTCTAATTGGTCGGCAGCTCCAAGTAAGGATTCAGGTGCCCAGGCTCCTTCCCTCTCCCACCTTCCGTGATGGCCATGCATCAAGCTAGTAGCAGGAGGGAGAGTATGAAGGAGCACGCAGGGAAGGTTTTCGTGAGCTGGACTCACATTCCGACTG